AATGATTAATAAATTAAATTAATTGATTGTTAAAAACTAAGGATACGATCCTTAAACAATAGTAAATGTTACTATCTTCTCATTGAAAAGTACAACCTAACCAGTAGACTGCATGATGAAGTTCAGGAAAGGTCTTTTGGGGACATAAAGTTTTCTGGAAGTCGGCAGTCAAGTTATTATTGTAACATTTACATTTCAGGTTTTTTCTAAGAAAATTATTGATATTGTATTTTTTTAACTAAATCTTTTTATATTGAAAAATTATATTAAATATGATTAATCTAAAATTGAGTTAAATTAGATTTTATAATAAAAATTCCCTTAACTTTTTCCTTGCCATTTATAAAATTAAAACTTAAAATTTTATTTTAAAAAATTAAACTAGCCATAGATGATTAGATTTTTTAGTGGCAAATGACTCGCAAAATGTTTGCGAGTAACCATGTGAGGATTCACACGTGACTGCTTACTGTTATAAAGCCATTTTACATTTATTGTTGTAATCCCTGATTTTTGAATTTTTGGTAATTTTAATTTGACACTTTAATTTTTGAGAATAATATATATTAATCTTAATTTATTTAAAAAATTAGAGTTTTAATTTTAAACAACGTTATTTTATTTAATTAAAATTTAATTTAAAATTTTAAAATTTATTTTATTAAATATTAATATTTAAATTTGAAAACTAATTATATTAAAATATATAATTAGTTTTTAAATTTATGTATCAACATTTAATAAAATATATTTTTAAATTTTGAATTAAAATTTAATTAAATAAAACGATATCATTAGATGTTAAAATTTTAATTTTTTTAAGAGTTAAGACTAATATGCACTTATTCGTTAATTTTGTAAACACAAATTTTAAATGAAAATTTAATAACTTAGTCTAACAATTGAAAAGCTTTTTGTTCTTATATGAAATTTTTATTAGTATTTTTATTTGATAAAAAAAAACTTTAATCATTATTAATTTAATATGTTAAATTCTCATTTAAAATTTATATCAAAAAGTTACAAAATCAAATTATAACTACTAAAAATGACAAAAGGAATATAATTTATCAGTTTGATTTTATTGTCTCATTTACTAAATATTTTGAGTGAGAGCGAGGAAGAGGATTCACTTCTTTAGGGATCTAGTTTACCGACCAGGCTTTCTTCAGTGACTTGCCGTGTTTCGAGCGACCAGGCTTTCTCACTCGCCCGATTATCGTCCGTTAATCGTAAGAACTGGTTAAAACTTAAATCTCAGTGCGGTCATTATTACACTTTGGTCCACAAGTACTCCTAT